TTGAATTATTTTCTGTTAATTGAAATTGATTATTAATTAACTCTTTTTCAAGTTGGTAAATATGACGTTGCTCTTCTAGATAGATAGATAGATATATTTATTGCTGCCCCAATTGGGGATTACAAGGCGCTTTTTTTTTTTACAGGAGCGTTCCCAAACCTTTCTTCCTTAACCCTTTTTCTTAGCCTAAACTTATATCTATAACTTAATCTAATTACATGTTTTCGCCACGCCTTCCTCTTCGCCGCCTTTCTCATCTTCTCTCGCATTTCTACCCTACCTACACACACACACACGTCCGCCTTTCCCTAACCTTTCTTATTCTAAATTATCTTAACCTACGCAATCTTACATTCTACTTAGCCTATGTTGGACCTCCGCTTCCGGTTACCGTTATTCTTCCACTCCTTTCCTCTCCCTCCCTCTCTCTCTCTCTCTCACACTCACACACACTCACTCCCTCCCCTCTCTCTCTCCCCTTATCCCTACCCTCTCTCATCCCCCTGTCCTCCTTTTACCTCCTTCTCCTTCTCCCCTTCCCCCTTCCCTTCTTTGCTTCCTCTAACCTTTTAAACCATATTTCCCTTCCCCCTCCTCTCCTAATATCTCCTTTACCATTTCCTGCCAGCTCTCTTCCCTTCCCCAATCCATACATTCCTTCCACACATGCTCCCACGTCTCTAACCCTCTCCCACATATCCTGCACTTCCTATCCTCCTCCTTTTCCCAATACCTATTTCCCTTCATTTCATTCCCCAGTCTATACCTTGCCATCCTCCTCCATCTACCTTCCGCCCACCCTTTCTTCAAATAGCCCGGAATCCCCTCCCCTTTAATCTGTTTGTACCACTTATTATATTCCGATTTTATCATTTTTCCTACCCTCTCCTCCCTCTGTTCCTTTCCTTCCCATTCCTCAACTTCTTCCCATCTGAACTCCCCCTTTTCCCTTCTTTCCTCTATCTCCCTTAATCCCATCCCCTTACCCTCAAAAAATTCCCTTCTTTCTCTCTCCCACCCTGACAATTCCCCTCCTTTTTTTTGCCCTTTCTTTAATCTCCCCCAAACATATTCTCGCCAACCATCCTCCCTTACCCTCCTCTAACCTTCTCTCATATCCCCATGCTCTTCTTCCCATCCTTGTCCTTATCTTTTCCCTTTGCAATTCCTCCCTTACCATATATCCAGGCGTTCTCCAATCCACTCCTAACATCCATCTCAGATACCTTTCTTGTATCCTTTCCAATCCCTCTCTCTCTTCCCATCCCCATATCTCCACCCCGTATCCTAAAACCGTCCACACTAACGCATCGAAGAGCCACAACCTCCTCCCCCAGTTATTCCCAAATCTCCTCTTACCTATTCCCCATACCTGTCCCATAATTGCTGCCCCTCTCTTTATTCTGTCCCTTATCTGTCCCTCTTGCCCCCCATTCCTTTGAATCACATATCCTAAATACTTGTACTCCTTTACCTCCTCTAATTTTTTTCCCTTCCAAAACCAACTAGCCTTTTTTAACCTCCCTCCCCCCCTTCTGCATCTCATCACCTTCGACTTCTTCTCATTCAGTTCCAGTCCCTTCCCCTCCAGATATCTCCCTAACCTCTCCATCATACACCTCATCGCCCCCTCATCTTCTGCCAACAGCACCACGTCATCTGCGTACGCTAATGTATAGACCTTGCCCTCTCCTAATCTCACACCCCCCCACCTCCCTTTCTCCATTTCCTCCTCCAAGTCCGCCATCAACATGTTAAACAGGAGCGGGCTCAGTGGGCATCCCTGTCTCACCCCCCTCCCCGTCCAAAACTTCTCTCCCACCTCCTCCCCTATTCTAACTCTGAACCCTATCTCTCCTAGCACTTCCTCGCACCTCCTCACCGTCTCTTCCTTCACCCCCCTCCCTCTTAACGCCGCCATCAACTTCACTCTGTCCACCGAATCAAACGCTGCTCTCAGGTCCACAAACAGTAGTACCATTTGCTTTCAGTTGCAATATTAAAGACCGTTATTTTTTCTGTAATAAAATATACATAAAACATACATAATACATAATATAATGTTACATAGGGTGACTCATTTTAATTTGTAAATTAATAGCTCGGAAATGACTTTGAGTTAAAAAATTAAACACATGGGTGAATACAGCTATATGTGTTCAATTTTTTAATTCAAAATGATTTGCAAGATATTGATTTTAAAATTAAAATAGGTTACTTTGTATAAAGTGTAATAATATTCTTTTTCACGTAGGATAACAAATATATATAAAGTTAAATTCTTTATGCTATATATATAAAAGATGCACATTTCTTATTTGAGCAAATTGTTCAATTTTTATTTTTGATTGTTATCGGTGGATGAGTGTCTCTGGGAGCAACCTTAATTATAAAGTTTCAAAATAAGATAAAAAGAAAGAGAGAGAGAGAGAGAGAGAGAGAGAGAGAAAAATATAATTATGATATTTAAGATAAAATCGTAGTTAAGATAAAGATTTCTGATAGAAGAGATATTAGATGAAAACGATACATCTAATGCAATTTACTTCTCTGCGCTTGTGTTATTTATAAAATGTGTATTCACAAGATATATTACTAGTTGTCAAGTATAATATATGTAATCCCTTTATATATAAAAAAATTATATAAATTAATTAAAATCACTATATTTTACTTACAAACTATCTGTCATTGCTATATAGAATTAATCTTAATATCTTTTTTAATTAAAAAGACAGGAATAAGTAAACATTTGAGACATTTTGAGATACAAAAATATTGTGGAGCTCTTAAGGAAACGGGAGGGCCCTCTTTTTGTAATATTCCAAGAAATTAATCTTGAAAAATTACGAAAATTTCAATGCAACAGACTCAGTTTTATATATATTATTAGATCAATGGAAAATAATAATGTTACAGAAGTTGCAATTGTATAAAATATTGTTTTAAAAGTTAATCAGAAAAAGCATATAATTGTCTGTTTTAGGACAATTATTTAAATAATTAGTATCAAAATTAATTTTACTGATTTATTTTTTTTTTACAATTTGATGAATATAAATGTTATGTAAAAAGTAGAAGGATAAAACATTAAATATGTAGATAATAGGAATTGTAAAAATATATTTCTATGTATAGTCACAAAAAAGTATTCTTTTATATTTGTTTAAAGCAATTTGAAATATATTTAGTAAAATAATAATTGAACAATGAACATATGAGCATATACATGTATATTATATATATAAAAACACAAACCTAATACATATATGTATAATAGTATGTTGCACTTGTAATCATGAATACATATTATCAATAAAAGAATTAAAATAAATAACTTTACAAGTATTGCTTCTATACATATAATATAAATATATGAAGAAATCAAAATAAAAAACTTGTGTAGCTTTTGCTTTCTTTTTTATAAAATTCTCGCAATGTAACTTAACTTTTAGCTTAATGTGTTATATAATTAATTTCACAAATTGCACTTGTAATCATGAATACATATTATCAATAAAAATTGTAATAAATAACTACACAGTACTGCTACTCTACATATAATATAAATATGTGAAAAAATCAAAATAAATAGCTTGCGCAGTGCAGCTTTTCTAACTTTCTTTTTTATAAAATTCTCGCAATGTAACTTAACTTTTAGCTTAATGTGTCATATAATTAATTTCACATATTGCACTTGTAATTATGAATATATATTATCAATAAAAGAATTGTAATAACTACACAGTACTGCTACTGTACATACAATATAAATATATGAAGAAATCAAAATAAATGACTTTGCGCAGTGCAACTTCTCTAACTTTCTTTTTTATAAAATTCTCGCAATGTAACTTAACTTTTAGCTTAATGTGTCATATAATTAATTTCACATATTCCACTTGTAATCATGAATATATATTATCAATAAAAAAATTGTAATAACTACACAGTACTGCTACTCTACATATAATATAAATATATGAAAAAATCAAAATAAATAGCTTGCGCAGTGCAGCTTTTCTAACTTTCTTTTTTATAAAATTCTCGCAATGTAACTTAACTTTTAGCTTAATGTGTCATATAATTAATTTCACATATTGCACTTGTAATTATGAATATATATTATCAATAAAAGAATTGTAATAACTACACAGTACTGCTACTCTACATACAATATAAATATATGAAGAAATCAAAATAAATGACTTTGCGCAGTGCAACTTCTCTAACTTTCTTTTTTATAAAATTCTCGCAATGTAACTTAACTTTTAGCTTAATGTGTCATATAATTAATTTCACATATTGCACTTGTAATCACGAATATATATTATCAATAAAAGAATTGTAATATCTACACAGTACTGCTACTCTACATATAATATAAATATATAAAGAAATCAAAATAAATGACTTTGCGCAGTGCAACTTCTCTAACTTCTTTTTTTATAAAATTCTCACAACGTAACTTAACTTTTAGCTTAATGTGTCATATAATTAATTTCACATATTGCACTTGTAATCATGAATATATATTATCAATAAAAGAATTGTAATAACTACACAGTACTGCTACTCTACATATAATATAAATATATGAAGAAATCAAAATAAATGACTTTGCGCAGTGCAACTTCTCTAACTTTCTTTTTTATGAAATTCTCGCAATGTAACTTAACTTTTAGCTTAATGCGTCATATAATTAATTTCACATATTGCACTTGTAATCATGAATATATATTATCAATAAAAGAATTGTAATAACTACACAGTACTGCTACTCTACATATAATATATATATATGAAGAAATCAAAATAAATGACTTTACGCAGTGCAACTTCTCTAACTTCTTTTTTTATAAAATTCTCACAACGTAACTTAACTTTAAGTTTTATGTGTTGAAATAATAAAAATTAGGTATTCTACTTATTTTTTGCAATTTCTTAAATACAAGTAATCTACGTATTATTTTTGAATAAAAAATTAAAATATTTCCGATTTGACTAAATAAATATTTTCTGAAAAAATATTTATTCATTTAATGACGCTTAATTTTGCCAGATATATAGTTATGGATCCACGTTTTAATTTGAGCAACGGATCGATTAAATAAGCACTTATTTTTTTCTTTTACACAGGAAATTTTTTTGTTAGATGGCAGCTGTGAAGTGGTAATTTCTTTTTGAAATTCTTTCAATATTGTATTACGTTCTTCTTCCGTCCAACGTCTTCGTTTTGTTATACCAAATGGAGATGCTACAAAATAAATTAATTATCTATGAATAAATATTTCTATATAAAAAGCAATAATTTACTTAAATTTTATTTTAATGTATTTTTATTTATATTACTAATAGAATAAAATTACTTTAAAATTTTTCTCAGAGTACTGACAAACTTTCATTAATAAAAAAATATTAAAATTATAACGTCATAAGTATAAGAATAAAAAGAAATAGGAATACAAAAATAAAATAATATAAAATAATATAAAATAATATATAAAATACAAATAATATAAATAAATATATAATTAAATTAAGCTAATGTGTGTGGAACCTTTATCATTTATCATTATTATTTTTTAATTAAATATTGTTATTATGTACATTAAAATTCTATCAAAAAATGCATTTTAAATAAAAGCTTAATATACTAATATACTTTGACATAGTCACATGAAAATATAATACTAAATAATATTTAAAAGAAAATCCACTCTGACTTGATAAATTTATAAAAACTGAATACAATATGTAAAAATGAGAAAATAAACTTACTACTGCGACGTTTCTTTATCTTTGGGGAATAAGTTTCGTCAGAATCATTGTCATTATTTACTATTGTATGGTTTTGATGCACGATTTTCTTTTTTACAGATTTTTGTTGTCCATCTGTTACGCTAAGAAATTTCGGTAATTTCCTTTCTGTTCATAATAAAGAAGGCTTACGTGAACTTATCATACATGTTTCGGCATCGTTTTCCGATTCTGCACTCGAAGTATCTTTGTTTGTTTCTTGCATCTCTTCCTCTTCTGTTAATAATAATACAATATTATGATAATTATTATATATGTATATATATGTGTAAACCAATTCTTGAAACTAAGGGCTAATATATGCTACAACCGCGGACGTCGATGCATAAAAATTGAGTAAAGGAGAATGAACACAATAATGAAACGTATTCTCAATTTGAATCCATTTCAATGAATATATCATATTCATACTTTGATTTAATAGGTTCCAAACGTAACGTTTCATTGTTGCATTCATTATTACTACTTTTATTTCTACACAGACATCCATGATCGTGGCACACATTAGCCTTAATTTCATAAGTTTTGGTTTATACGGACTTTTGTCTGATTTTTTCTTCTAATTAAATAGATATATTAAGAATGCAGAAAAGTTTAAAAAAGGAATACAATAATTAATATATTTTATACAAAAATTAATATATAAAAAGTACTTGTGGCATATATATAATAAGATAAATAGTGTATATACCTGAATCACTATTATTAGATTGCTGTTGCTCATTTTCACCTAATGCTGCTTCAAGAAATTTCGTCATACGAACTATCTCTACAGCTGCTATTGACTGTCGATAATGGCGTTTATGAATTTTCTCGTGATGCCCCATAAAGTTCGCCAAATCATCCACTTCATTGTCAGATAAATTTAACGTAATGCATGTTGTAGCAATATGTTTACGTAATTCAGTACCTCTTAAAGAATGTGGTATTTGTGCATCACATTTTTTAGAAAAATATCGCATAAGGATACACGCTCTTAAATATTTGAAATGGCGTTTGGTACTACTAGGTATGCCAAACACTTCAGACAACTTTTGCCTGTTAAACAACATGCTACTCGAAGTGAAATTGTAAATCTTTCTATTAAATTTAGTTATACTTGGAAATATTTTAAAAAATTCTCTTTAATACAAAATATGCGAGTTCTTCCAGAGGAAATTGATTTTTCTAAATTTCTATTAGATATGGGAGATGGATTATTAAATGATTTAAATGATAATATAGAAATTCCTAAATGTTGTATAGTATCTACAAATGTTGATATTGTGGAAGATATATATGGTGATTTAATACAAAAACAAGAATTTGTTAAAATAACTAAATGTGCGATACTTTCTGCAAGAAATGTTGATGTAGACGAAATTAATAAAAGAGTTGTAGAACTATTAGGTGTAACTGGTGAACGAATTTATACAAGTATAGACTGTACTGTAAATGGTGACAATGATGACATTGGTGAAGCTTTGTTACCAGAATATTTAAATAGTTTATCTCCACCATCTCTTCCTCCTCATGAATTACGTTTGAAACCAAATTGTATCATTATGTTGATTAGAAATCTTAGTATCAATGAAGGTCTTTGTAATGGCACTAGATTAATGGTTACAGAGCTTGCAGACCATTTATTAAAATGTAAGATTTTAACAGGTGACAAAGCAGGAGATATTATTTTTTTAAATCGTATAACATTATATTGTGAAAATGTATATCCTTTTACTTTTTCTAGAAGACAATTTCCGATAAAATTAGCTTTTGCTATGACAATTAATAAATCACAAGGACAGACATTTGAAAAAATCGGATTAGATCTTCGTAAAGATGTATTTAATCATGGACAACTTTATGTTGCCTTTTCACGAGTTCGTTCTTGGCAAGTATTAAAAGTTTACATTGGGAATCAACGAGATAATAGATACGTTAAAAATTATGTATATAAAGAAATATATGTCTAGCTTTATTGTTTTTTAATATATATATATATATAAAAATAATTTATGTGTTAAAATGATTATAGTAATTTAATTTGTAATTTAATTTGTAATTTTTAAACTGATTATAAAATAATTAAATATATTCTATAATATCAAAAGTGTGTGAAAAAAAGGAAAGATAATTAATTATTTTTCTAATTTAAATTTTATTAAGAAAAAATTCTAAATTTTGAACATAATATAATTTTATATTTTTTCAATTAATTAAATAAAATATAATGTAAGTAATATTAATTAAATAAAATATTAATGGAACGTAAAGAATATTATATATTTATATTTAATTATATTATATATTACATTATATAATATTATATTATATTGTATAATATTATATTATATTATAATATTATATAATATAATAATTCTTATTTAATTAAATTTATTCATTTTTCATGTGATAATTAAGCTAACAAGTCGCATGATACATCCATCATCATCCGGGCACGGTAAATTGAGATTACTTCAGACAAGGAAGAATAAAGAATTTTGTACTTGAACGAGAACTCATTATTTTAAATTGTAAGTCTTTTTTTGCGGTATTCTGTAATAAAAATTATATTAATATAATATTATATTTAAATATTAAACTTAATTACATATTATTATGAAAAAATAAAATACACTTAAAAAATATACCAAAAGATTAAAAAAAAAAAAAGAAATAAAAGAAATCAAATAATAAAAAATTTACTTGCTTTTTTATTATTGTCAACAATTTAATTACAAAATTAAATTAAACTGGCTACGTTTGTGGTCCTAGCCTGAACACCATCCAAATAAATAAGTGATTCAATAAATATCAGATTTTATTATTTATTATTTTATTTGTTTTTATTTTTTTTAGTTTCCTACGTTTATTTATTTTAAATATAAAAAATAATTTTTTTATGTAATTATATTTTATACAAAAATGTTTATTAAATGTTTAATAAATATATTTAAAATTTAATTATATATTACATATATATATTTATTTTTTATATAAAATCTTTATAAATTAACTCTGTTCATACAAAAAAATTATTTAAAACAAATTAGTTTTATAACCGTAATATTATTTCTACTCTTATTAGCTTTTTATATGTGTGTAATACTTTATTTGAATTAAAAAGCATTTAATTAGTATATTGTTTTAAAACAAAATTTTTTAAAATTAATTAATGAAAGGCTCGTATAATTTAACAAAATTAAACAAATCATATATAGTAGGCCAACTGAACGAGCAAATAAATAAGGTGTAAAAATTTTTATTAATAGTTAAATAATTAAATTAACATTCCGTTACAGAATCGATATAAATTGTAAACGTTTCGACTGCACTACAGTCTTTATCAATACATAAAAGTTAAATATTAAAATACAAAGTTAAATGTTAAAAATACAAAGTTAGTTAAATATTAAAATATAAAATTGAAACGATTCTTCGCTGTTGACCAATAGATATGCAAGGCGATTGGTCTGAGATGCCAAGTTATGCGACATTTGAGCATGCTACGGATATAATACGCGAATTAAATCAATGTCAGAGAAAATTAAAAAATCTTTCAACTTACATTATCGTTTTAACAAGTCCTTTTCCCCGATATTTCAAGTGTGTGTTGCGAAGTCTGAATACCAAATGTCAAAATAGAGAGCGTGATGTATTTATTTATTACCAATGTTTTTTCTAAATTATGATTCAGCAAATTTTTTAAGTATGTCAAAATAACTACTGTCTAACAATTCGGTGTCTGTATTTAAATTAATTCCATTTTTCTGTTCTTTAATGTGGATCATTTCAGATATTAGTCTTTTATGGTAGTTCTTTTCGTGATCCATAATTTTAATATTGTCCCAGTCAAATGTATGTTGTTCGTTTAGAATGTGTTCTGTGACAACCGAATGTCTAGCAGAGTCTAATTTAATATTATTTTTATGTTCTTTAAGTCTCGTTCCTAACTGTCTTTTTGTCTGTCCGACATATGTGGCGTCACAATCGTTGCAATTCAATTTATAAATAACATTAGAATTCGTGGGGCAATTATTTTTGTCCTTTTGAACTTTTATGAAGTCATTCAATTTTTTAATGCAACGATATCCTACCACTACGTCAGGTCTTCTTATTGCTGAAGCAACTTTCTCAGATATTGATTCTATATATGGTATGACAAAATATTTAATGTTAGTATTAGTATTATTGGTATCTGTTATATTGTTATTATTAGGCTTGTTAAATTTCTTAGTTGAGAGATTTTTTAATCTGCGTTTTATTTCTGTGAAAATTAGATCAAGAGGATAACCGTTGGATAGCAAAATGTTAATAGCTTTCTCTATATTTTTTTTGTGAAATTGCGGATGTGATAGTAATAAAGCTCTATCTACCAAGTTATAAATTGTTCCTATTTTATGACAAGTCGGATGATTTGAAAAAAATGAAAGTAATCTACCTGAGAATGTCTTTTTGTGATACCAATCTAAATAAATTTTATTATCTATTACTTTGATCATTATGTCTAAAAAGCTTATACAACGATTATCCTCTTTTTCCAATGTAAATTGTAGTCTATCGTTATAATTGTTGAATTCGTTCAAAACATATGTAATATTGTCAGCGGAAGTGCATAAAATAATGTCGTCTACATAACGGAAATAGAAAGTCATTTCGCAATTTAAATTACTAATTACTAATGTTTCCAAGTCCTGCATGACTATATCGGCAATGATCGGAGAAAGTGGGGAACCCATAGGAGTCCCATAAATTTGTTTGTAAGTTATGTTATTAAAAGTGAAAATGTAGAAGTTAATATAAATTTTATCATACCTATGAATTCATTTTTGGGAATCTTTGTGTGTGACTCTATAAAATGCCATCTATTATTGATACCGTTTAATGCAAGATCTACGGAAACATTAGTAAATAATGAAACAACGTCCAATGAAACTATTATGTCGGTATCTTGTATTGTTTTCCCTGATAGAATGTTGCATATATCAAAACTGTTATTTACAAAACTGTCCGCTCTAGGAAGGCTATCTTTTAAAATTTTATGAAAGAAAGAAGCAATATTATATAGAGAAGTATTTAATGAGGAAACTATTAATGTATATAGAAATGGAGGAAAAAAGATAATATATAATTAAAAAATACTTCTCTCTTTTTCTCTTTTTAAAAGATTTCTTTTATTTAATATATAAAATATAAAAAAAAATATTACTAGCACTTTTAAAATGAAAATAATGTATAACTTACACAGTTGAGTCATACATTTGAATTGTGTCAAAAACATTACTTGGCGTAAATAATTCGACTGAACTTATCAATTGTTCAATTTCCTCGTGTATACTTTGTGGTTCCCTTTGTATTTCCATATAATTACTTTTCGTAAGAATTCTACAGCGTATAATAAATGTTTTGTTATATTATAATTGTAATGATATTATTATTGTAAAAAATGATTAAACTTATTGTTTTATTTTTATTAAATTATAGAAAAAATTATTTAAAAGAAATTTAATATTATATGACATTAAATAATTTATAAATTATAAAAGTTAGAAACGATTAAGAATAATAATTCAGAGATGAATAGAGAAATAAATCATTAATAAAAAAACATAAAAATTTTTAATATTATGATCGTAGATAAATAATTGAATTATGTTAGACGATAATTGTTAAAGAACGCAAAAAAAGTAATGTCAAAAATTATAAAAAAATTACTCATGAGAACGTGTAACCACATTGATTCAAGTAGTTAAAACGAATCAAGAATACATTTATGCATTCTAGCTAAATAAATAATAAAATTATACACAATTTTTGTTGCTTTAACTACATTTAAGAAAAATATATAATTTTCATATGAAATTTTTTAACCTTTAAATACGTAATTTACTTACTCATTGTCAATTGATTCGACTTTAGATTTATCTTCATCACTTAATAAATTTTCAACATCTTATTGTAATGTTTCCAAATCTTCGCTGGAGGAACCCATTTTTTAAATATTATTTTATTTTTATTTTTTATAATAATTTTTTAC